TGAAGATTTGTTAAAGGTTACTCAAAGGCTAGAAAATCTTTTACCTGCTCTGGACCCAAATAGGAGTGCCCAGAGAGAGAATGTGACCACTTTGCATGATAAAAGATGTGTCCCAGGCAGGGAAAGCTGGAAAGGCTGAACTGGCAGACCCAGGTGCAGAGCTGGAGAGTGAAAAAAGCCGGGACACTTTGACTTGTGTAAGGTCCAAGGACTCAGAGGAAAAGACAGATAATAGTAAAAAGGAAAAAAACTCTAACTGTGCTGTAGCTAGGAAATATTCTATGCTAGAACTGTTAAAACTAGGAAAAACTTACAAGCAAGCGACAGCCCCTAGCCAAGTGGCTTGTGAGAGTATGGGACATGGGAGCAAATGACGTCAGTCTAAGTCCTTCAGAAGCTTCACAGCTAAGTTATAAAACCACCCATCCGTCCTTGTGATATAGGCTGTTCAACCTAGGCCAATGCAGGGGGGAGCAGTCCTTAATGGGATGGCTGGTTGAAGGCATTAAAGATACATGGTTGTCACCAAGGGAGACTAACATGATTAGCAGGGGCTGGAGGACTATAAAGGAGGGGCAGGCACTCCTGAGAGAACTAGGTATATACATGATGTCCAGTTCACTGGGCCAGATAAGACTGTGCTCACCAGAGATATGAAAGAAGGCTTAATTCAGCTGGGACCTCGAGAATGGTGTGGGGCTTTAACGGTTCTACTAAGCCCTTTTATAGGACAAAATCTGTGTAAAGAGAGAGGCTTTGGCAAATCTAAATGATTCTGACCAGCATGTAAAACATGTCTGTAAAATAACAGAACACCCTATAAGAGATATTAAAAAAACCAGACTGAAGAAATGGTCTACTTGGGTTACTCAAAGAAAATGCAGCAAGATTTATGCCAAGCCAAAATCCCCAGAGAAAAAATTGATAGAAAACCAAATTCAGTACTAAGGCATTTCTGAAAGGTTTTAAAACCAGAAGAACAGTTTACAAAGGACATTCAAAGGGTAACAACTGTACAAGGGGTGGTTAAGAATCCCCAAGGATTAACTATACTAGGGGTGGAAGCAGGTTTTCCCACCAAGTTCTCCCTCAGCAACCTGGTGTGGCCAATGGGAAGAGGACAGCTATGGCTACAGTCAGGAGGCAGACCCAGAGGCTGCCTGACTCAAGGAACCCACAAGTGCACTGGGGACAGGAGAAACCCTCTGCCTCCTTAGCCCAGTGCAGGATCAGGCAACTGGAGCCAACACCTGTAATTTTATCAAGAATAAAAGAATACAAAAGGACTCCATGTAAAATCTCTCGCACGAATAAAAGAATCCAAGGGATAACTAAAAATGGTAAAGAGCTAACCAAATTAATGCCTCATACCTAACCTTGCTATGGTACCTAATAAGGATCTATGGAGAAAACAGTTAATACCAATGGACAAAACCTTTCCATGCTATGTGAGACCTTGTCTATGATTGATTTAATATATGTTAACCTTCCTTTGAGCACTTTACAGATGTGAAACCCATTTGAAAGAGACCTGAAGAAGCAAAGGCCAGCTATAGCTGTAAGATTCTTGGGAGTTTCATGTAGGTTGGGTGAGATGAGGACAGAAACTCCCAAACTATACAACTGTTAAGAAAATCTACAGTACCAGGAGTGGATTGCCCCCCTATGAGCTATTGGTCAGAGAGAGAGATCCTAGAGGTCCTCCAGTTCACCAAGGCTATTGCCATTAATGTCAGTTGTACACTAGAAAGGTCAGTAAGGCCATGTTGCTGAAGACACTGCATGTTGTGAGTGTGGGAGAATAAGAGATGGAACTGAGACTAAGCCAAAAAACTCCATGCCACTGGATGGATGATGTTCATATTGCTTGAAGGCTCTACGCAGATGGCTGGGGAAGAAAGGATCCCCTATAATTCTACTCGATGATGGACCCCGTGTACTGCACACTATGGACATGCCAAGCAATACCTGCAAGTACAATAATGGCTTGAATAACATACATAGAACTGACAAATTTCTAATTGTATAAGGCCCGCTCCTAGGGGTGGAACACACATGTGGTGCTGTAGAACAGGCCAACGCCTTGTGTTGAGAAAGGCTACAGGCCCTAGTGGAAAAACCATCATGAGTACACTGTTTAATGAATATAGTACACCTACTGGGATATCGTCTAGGCATCTATATTTACATTCATGTTTGTTTAAATGTGTCTACTTCCCTTGTTCTGTCTTTATAGTATAAGAAACACCACTGAGATACATCAGTGGCCACGGCCTAAAGACAATTAATGGGGAGGCCCAAGAAGCCACTATCTCGCCATGATACAAGAGAGATTTCCCTACATCTGGCATCCCCTCCAAGGCTCAGGGATCTTAGTGGAAGATGGACGGGAAGATTGTAAGAGCAGAGGAAAGGGGTGGAGTGTTTTCCAATTGGCTAGTTCCTCCAAGAGGCGAGGCCTGCTGTGGAGTGTGGATGAAGGAGGGCTGCTGGGAGCCATCTTGGGACAGAAGCTGTGAGCCGCGAGTAGCGTGATTGGTGTGGGGAATGCACAGCCAGCTGCAGCAGCTCAAGGACAGAATGGACTGACTCCTGTGGACCTGGGGCGAGATTGCTGGCCCTGGAGGCATGAGTGAATGCTAGCAGTGACTATGGGTGTGTCGTGGTCTGATATGGTGGGCTCTGAGCTTTGGCACGGGGCTAGGCACTGGGTACTCATTTCTTTGTAAGTTAATAAATGCACATAAAGATATGTTATACGGATTTCTTGATAGTGCAGGAGACCCAGAGGGAATTCAGGCAACAGGACACATCCTGACTTTAATATATGTGAGTACAGTAATTTGGTGGGGGACTAGTTAGGGGGCTACAGAAATGGGAGAACATCTAAATATGATCAAAATATATTTATGAAATTCACAAAAATACAATAAAATAATTTTTAAAAGAAAAAAATAATAGGTGACACAAAATTGGGAGGAGATAGTAAGGTGAGGATGGAGATGGGGAGGGGGTCTGAATGTCATCAAAATACACTGTATGAAATTCTCAAAGAATCCATAAAAATTTTTTTTGGGTCTTTTTGAGACAGGGTCTCCCTGTAGCCCCAGCTGTCCTGGAACTCACTATGTAGACCAGGCTGGCCTTGAAATCCCAGCCTCCTGAGTGCTGGGATTAAGGTGTGTGCCACCACGCCTGGCCAATAAAAATATTTTAAAATGAAATAAATACACAGCACCAGTCAGACAACTTGAAAAACCCAAACTACTCCTGGGACCCTAGTAAACATGCCTCATCTGAGTCCCATCTGACTTAATAACACTGGTGTAAGGATCAGCTGAGATAAGACATGTTTTAAGATGAAGAAATATTTACAAATAGGACAACAAGGGGCTGGAGAGATGGCTCAGTGGTTAAGAGCACTGGCTGCTCTTGCAGAAGACCCAGGTTTGAATCCCAGCACCCACATGGCGGCTTACAACCATCCATAACTTCAGTCCAGGGGATATGACGCTCTCTTCTGTCCTCTGCAGGCACTGCACAACACGGGTGCACTTACACACATGCAGGCATAACACTCATACACACAAAATAAAAATAAATCAAAACAATTAAATAGGACAACAAAATGGAGAGGATGGATGAAATAGCTCAGCTATGAGTCAATATTATTTTGTCAAGTTGGAATGAAGGCAAGAAACCAGTGACTGACAACTGGACAATATTAGCAAATACCAATGACAAATGCCAACGCACAGGAAAAAAAATAAAATATTTTTAGGAAGTTATTCTTTAAACTTTTTTTGATTTATTATTTCATTTTTATTTTATGTGTATTAGTGTTCTACTTGCATGTATGTAAGTGTAGCATGCATGTACAATGCCTGCAGAGGCCAGAAAAGGGTGTTGGATCCTCTAAAACTGGTTATGGATGGTTGTTAGCCACCATGTGGGTCCTGGGGACCAAACCTGGGTTCTCTGCAAGAATAGGCAGTGCTCTTAATCACTGAGCCATTTCTCCAACCCCAGGATTTTTTTTTTAAATAACACCTATATTTTTGCTAACTACATTTCTAATAGGAGTCAACAGTTTGATGTCACCAGGCAAAAAAATAAGCACATTCCTGATGTGAGCACAGGAAAGGCAAAACTTCCCCACATGGCTATCAAACGTAGATGCTGAAATCAGGTATGAGAGAATGTGTCCAGAGGTAGGAACCCCAGGAACATTATTTTATGAGAAAAAGATGTTTCAAAGAAAGACAGTGGTTCTTGAATATCTAAAGTGGTTTGAATCGTAGAATGAAAAGTGTTCTATTTTATCAGAATATAAAACATATTTCTAAGCAGAAATTACAGGGTAGATATATGGTAGATGTTCACATTAAACACTGTTAAAATAGGAAACACTGAAAACAATAGCAGCAACAACAACTCTTCAGCGATTGGAAATGCTATGTAAAGATCAGGTGAGTACTGTCTAGGCCTTTTACTAGGATAGATTCCTACAGTAAAGCATGACTTAGTGCTTTATCTATCCAGTAAAAGGATAGATATTTCTGCACCATGGTAGTGAAGCTTTACTGAAAATCATGGGTCAGTCTACAGAGCTGAATGACTACCTGTTCCATATGCCACAATGTCTTTTATAGAACTCCGACGTAAGCCATAGCACTGGAAATGACAAAGTCTAGGATGAACAATTTGCCTCCGTAGCCTCAGACAGAAATTGGCCTCACATCACACATGTCAACATGTTACCACATCTGAGATGTGTATACACTGTCTCACACGACATTCTGCTGTATTGGTGGACAAAAATACAATATCTCATTAAAAGCTATCAAATGCATGCAAATGTTAGTACTATATGATTTTAATTATACTGTCAGCAGCACTTAGAATTATATTTATTTATTTTACAGACAAGGATTCCCCAACATACATGTGAAGACTGTATTTGAGACTTGAAGGAGAAAATAATTTATGCAAACTCATACCTTCTGTGTTTCCTTCTTTGCTGAGTTACATTCAGGATTTAAAGCAAGGCAGTAGATAAATTCCTTTAACACTTCTTTACTTCTTCCCAATTCAGAAAGTATCTGAGCTTTTATATGGTGCCCCTGGATTTACCCAAAGACAAAGTATGCATTTTAAAATATAGCAAGATTATACATACCTAGAAATAGTCCTAGATAACTGTGTTAGAACTATTTGTTATAACTTCATGTTAAATAGTTCTCAGTATACTGCATCTTCCTGTCTTGAAAATGCAAGTTTCAATGTTTAATAAATATAATCTACAATCAGAACATGAGATTCACTATAATTGAGATCTGTTCCCAAATCAGTTCTAAAGGGCATGTTAGGAGAGAACTGGCATCTGTCAACTTTATTGCATTTATTATGATATTCATGAAATTCATATGGAATTACAAAAAAATCCTGGGTAGCCAAAAAAATCTCGAAGAAAAAGACCAAAGCTAGGCATATACCATCTGACTTCCTTAGCTATGAGAACTAAAATGGGTATACTTTATATACTATAACACTCACCAGTTTTTTATGTGTATGTGCTATGTGTGTGCAGGTGCTCATAGAGGCCAAAAGAGGGTGTCAAGTCCTCTGGATCTGGAGTTATAGGTGGTTCTGAGCCACCTCACATGGGTGCTGGGAACCAAAACGGGTCCTCTGCAAGAGCAGCAAGGGCTTTAAACACAGTTAAAATTGTTGAGTCATCTCTCCAGCCCCAACACTCACAAATTTTAAATATCTGATGTAACAAATCTTGGGAATGTAAATATAGTTGTACAACTAGCCTCACACTGGTGATACAGTACACAACCCCAAAATGTTCTTTCCTGTTGTCTGAAATCAGTGCCCTCCCCTTGCTAGATGAGTTTTAAATCTATTTTTATTTTATTTACGTGGTGTGTGTGTGTGTGTACATGCCAAATGTGTGCAAATGCCTTGGGAAGCCAAAAAAGGGTGTCAGAGCCCCTGGAGCTGGAGTTACAGGTGATTGTGAGACCAAACAGGGAACAGAACTGGGGTCCTCTGGAAGAGCAGCAAGCATTCTTAACTGCTGAGCCATCTCTCTAGCCCCTCACTTCAGTTTTACTATTATTTATTTATTTATTTATTTATTTATTTATTGAAAGAGTCTCACTATGTATTGTACTGGCTGGCTTGGAACTCACTATGTAGATCAGGCTGTGCTCAGATTCATAGAGATTAATGCTGTACACCACCACACCTGGCTTTCACCTTGGTTTTTGCTCTTTCTCAAGATAGGTGCTTAGATCACTGATTTGAGACTTTTGTTCTTTTAATAAGCAATAGTAATAAAAATTTACTCTCAGAATCATTTAAAGCTACCTTTTAGAAATTAAATGTATAATTTATTTCATCATTAATTTAAAATGTTTAGTAGGTTTTTGTTTGTTGCTTTGTTTTCTCAGATACATATTTTATAGTAGAATTTGCATCATACTCAATATTTTGGGTGAAATTTTTAAGAGTTCATTGTCAATCATATTTCTCTATGAAAGTCTTCATATAGAATACTAAAATTTAAATTGACATTTGGATTGTGAGCTATTTTCCCTGGGTACTGTAGCATCTACTTGAGACAGAGGAGACTGGAGACCACGGCCTAGGAACCCTTCTTTGTGCTCCCTACACAAGGCGCATGCCCTGTCCTTCTGCCACACTCTCACCACAGTCAGGCTGAAGGCTGCTAGCATGCAGTCCTAGGAGGACACTTGCACTAGCACTGATAGGTTCAAATTCATTCTCTCAAGTAAAACAAAATATACACATATAGAGATCTGCAGCTGCACTTATTACTTCAAATGGTAGCAAAGAAAATAATGCTTGTTTCATAAGTTTTAAATTCATTTATAGTTTGTTATATTAAATCTAAAAATGAAATTTTGGTTTTTTACTGGCTATATAGACAGGCTAGCCTCCATATCACAGAGATCTGCCTGCCTCTACCTCCCAAGTACAGGGATTAAAGGTCTGTACCACCATGCCTGGCTCAGTTTCTTGTTCCATAGATGGTTTAGAAACCAGCTGCAGATACTTAAGGATTTCCTTGTTGTTGTTGTTGTCCTATTTATTTATTTGAGAGAGAAAATTCATTTGAAGATTTCAACATTGGGGGCTGGAGAGATGGCTCAATGGTTAAGAGCACGAGCAACAGCTGCTCTTTTAGAAGACCCAGGTTCGAATCCCAGCACCCACATGGTAGCTAACAACTATCAGTTCCAGAGGATCCAATGCCCTCTTCTGGCCTCCATAGGCATTGCACAACACAGGTGCACTTATGCATGCACGCAGTGCACTCGCATACATAAAAGTAAAATAAATAAGATTTCATTATTATTAATCTCTTGATGTGGCATTATTACACTGACATTACAATCACCTGAACAAGAAGCCTGACCCTTAAATTTAGTTTTATAGAATGGGCAGGAACTCGGAGGACAGCTGTTCCCCCAGATATCTTGAAAAGAGTTGTCTCCTAGAACTGTGCTGATGGGACTGTCTCTGGGATGCTGTTTCTGGAACTGTGTCCTTGAATCAGGCCCCACCTGTAATTTTATTCAAAATGGTTTCTCCAGCTTCAGTTGGGGAAGTACAAGTCAGGCTCCACTCTAATCTTAACAAATCATTCTGCCTTCTCATTTCTAATTCTAGAATATCTCATTCACCCAAGGTCATGCATCCTTCCCAGTCTCCAAAGTATAAGGGATATGGGTGCATGGCATACCCTCATTCATTCATTCATTCATTCATTCATTATCTTTTTGGGCGGAATGCCAAATTGAGGTTGTCAGGTGCCCAGGTCACAAGACACAATAGCTCAGGTTTTGCTGGGGTTAATTAAAAGTCATTAGTTCAGATTATGTTCATTTATAAAAGTCATTCATACGTCTTGATACTGTTTTGTGTACACTGGATTTCACAGGCATTAAAATGTACATGTGCACTACAGCTAAATGCAGTATCCATAAATGCAAGTTAGGTTAAAAGAAAGTCTTCCTCTATGTCTCTAAAATATTCCTTTAAGTCTCTACTAATACTCTACTGGTATTAATATGGCCATTTAATTTTTGCATACTTTGAGTTTGCCTGATATATTTTTACAGCCATTGTATCTTAATATTTAAAGTGAATTTCTTTTTAAAAATTAAAAAAGAAATTTTTTTGGTCTTTTCAAAACAGGGTCTCCCTGTAGCCCCAGCTGTCCTGGATTCACTATGGAGACCAGGCTGGCCTTGAACTCACAGAAATCTGCCTGCCTCTGCCTCCCGAGTGCTGGGATTAAAGGTGTTTGAAAATATATTTTTATTTTTATTTTTATGTGTATGTGTATTGCCTGCATATTTGTAAGTGCACCAGTGTCCTGCAATGTCTTCAAAGGTCAGAAGAAGGTGTCAGGCTCCCCTGGAACTGGAGTTAAAGATGGTTGTTAACTGCCACGTGGGTGCTGGGACTCAAACCCCTATCCTCTGCAAGAGCAGCCAGTGCTCTTAACCCACTGAGCCATCTCTCCAGCCCCTAAAGTAAATTTCTTATAACCAGCATATAGTAGGTCTTCCTTTGTAGGTACTCTAATGTTTTCTCTTCCCAAATCGAATATGCTATTCCTGTGTTGAGTGGCTTCCATAAAATCTTGCTATTTTCCTGTATGCCATTTTTCTCTTGTTACACTTCAAGACTTTCTTTTCGTTTCTGGCTTTATTGGGGGCTGAAGAGATGGCTTGCCAGTTAAGAGCACTTGTTCCTCTTTCAGAAGACCCAAGTTAGGTTCCCAGAACCCATCCTGTGCAGTTTACAACAGCCTATAACTCTAGCTCCAGGGAATCCCACACCTTCTTCTAACATCTGAGAGCACCACTCACATACATGAAAAAGAATAGCAGTTTGTGATTTGAGTTTATTTTGCTTGGGGTTCTCATCTCATTCATCTTGTGAATCTGAAATTAATGTATCCCACTAAATTTGGAAAGCCATTATTTCTTCAATTTTTTTCTTTCCATTTTCTCTTCCCTTGCTATGGTTCCGACCACACATTATACCATTTCAGAAATTTTTACTGTTTTTTTCTTCTGTTACTCAGATTGGGTTTATATGTCTCTATGTATCTATCCTCGAATTCACTAATTTCACCTTTACCTCCAAGATTTAGTTTCAGAACTCATTTTCATGTGTTTAATAAAAATTGCCATTTTTATGGCTTCAACTTTCCTGTTCAGACTGCTGTTGTTCCAAAGTTATTGTATTTTTCCTCAATTCTTTAGCTTTAATCTCATTTAACTTTTTGAACTTGTTTACAAAGGATGGACATTTCTAACCCAAAAGTTGGAAATTAGAAATGCTCCAAAATGCAAAACCTTTTCATCACTACCTGATGTAACAAGAAGAAAGTCCCACCCACAAAGCTTTGTTCCATGCATGAAGTCCTAAAAATGCCATTTAGCTATATGTATAAGGCACATATAAAACATAAATAAATTATGTGCTTATAATTGAGTCTCCTCTCCAAGATATATCATTAGTATTTGGAATTATCCTCAAAATACAACCATATTCAAAATCCCGAATATGTCTATATATAAGCATGTTGAACACAGATTTTGAGGATAAGTTGATAGCATACTACTGAGCTGATATATACTAAGAGTAATACAAAGTACAGCTTAAGCATTATCTAAATCCAGTTACAGACTTGGTCTTTTAAATTGGATTGTTTTAGTATGAGCTGGATTGCAAATTTTAGACTAATATAAAATAGAGGAAATATACACTGTCTGCAGGTACCTACTCACAACCAGCTTTATTAATAAAAATGCCACAACCTAGGGCTCAGGAGATGGCTTAGTGGGCAAAGTGCTGCTGCACAAGTGTGAAGACCTGAGTTCAGATCCCTAGAACTCAGATTAAAAAACAACAACAACAACAACAACAACAAAAAGTGCTGGGTGTGGTAGTGTGCTGGGAAGTGGACAGGATGATCCCAGGGGTTGACTGGCTAGCTGCGGGTTCATTAAGAGGCTGTCTTAAAATATAATGTGAAGAAGAAATTGAAGACATCCCAACATTAACCTCCACATGTACTCACACAGGCAAGCGCTTGCCACATGCAACACAACACACACACACACACACACACACACACACACACACACACACACACAAATAACCTTACCCTGATTATCTCCAAAGTTAGCAAACATAAATTACCTTAGTCATGAGAGGGTCCCTTTGACAAACTGCATCAGCATCCCACAGCGCTTTCTCATAGTTCTTCATGGTTAAATATAACTCTGCTCGCAGCAGCAATAATGAGTTATCATCGGGGGCTGAAAGACAGGAGGAATACAAATGACTACATTTAAAAATAGTTTTTCAGTCATTAAAAATATTAAATTAGAAAATAAACACTAAGATAAAATAAGAAATAACTCCTCCCAACTCATATTTAGAGCTTAGTATTTTAATGAGCATAATTTACAGAGTTTCTCTCAGGAAAACAGAAACAAGATTAATTAGACTTCAGGATGCACCAAGACACACAATATTGACTATTCCTTTAAACAGACTATCTACAACACAACCTCCAATAATAAATCAAGTAATTATGGAACCATCCTAATACTATAGACGGAGCATCTTTATCCCAAAAATCCAAATCCAAAATGCTCTGAAACCTGAGTTTCAGATTTAGCAGTATTTCAGATTTTGGATTTTGGGATTAGGAATGAAATTACTTCCAAATTTAAAAACAAGACTTTAAAAATGTGAAACACTTTTGATTCAATGTTTTTTTTTTTTTTTTTTTTTG